AGTAATATGTTATTAGATTTGAATTATTGTTATGTTGGATTTGACTTGAAAAATATTTTGTCAGTTATACTGTTAACTTACCGACTATTGTCATATGTTTGATTGACATAATTAAAGTAAATTAAAGTAAATAGAAGTAATGTTATTAGATTTGAATTATCGTTATGTTGAAAAATATTTTTGTCAGTTGTACTGTTAACTTACATACTATTGTCGTGTGTTTGATTGACATAATTAAAGTAAATTAAAGAACAGAAGTAATATGTTATTAGATTTGAATTATCGTTATTTTGAAAAATATTTTTGTTGGTTATACTGTTAACTTACAAACTATTGTCATGTGTTTGATTGACGTAATTAAAGTAAATTAAAGTAAATTAAAGTTATGTTGGATTTGACTTAAAAAATATTTGTCAGTTATACTGTTAACTTACTAGCTATAGTGTTTGATCGACATAATTAAAGTAAATTAAAGTAACAGAAATTAAAGTAACAGAAGTAATATGTTATTAGATTTGAATTATCGTTATGTTGAATTTGACTTGAAAAATATTTTTGTCAGTTATACTATTAACTTACTCGCTATAGTGTTTGATTGATATAATTAAAGTAAATTAAAGTAACAGAAGTAATATGTTATTAGATTTGAATTATCTTTATGTTGGATTTGACTTGAAAAATATTTTTGTCAGTTATACTGTTAACTTACTGACTATTGTTGTATATTTTGATTGACGTAATTAAAGTAAATTAAAGTAAATTAAAGTAATAGAAGTAATGTTATTAGATTTGAATTATCGTTATGTTGGATTTGACTTGAAAAATATTTTTGTTAGTTATACTGTTAACTTACTGACTATTGTCGTATGTTTGATTGACGTAATTAAAGTAAATTAAAGTAAATTAAAGTAACAGAAGTAATATGTTATTAGATTTGAATTATCGTTATGTTAAATTTGACTTGAAAAATATTTTTGTTGGTTATACTGTTAACTTACTAGCTATAGTGTTTGATTGACATAATTAAAGTAAATTAAAGTAACAGAAGTAATATGTTATTAGATTTGAATTATCTTTATATTGGATTTGACTTGAAAAACATTTTTGTCAGTTATACTGTTAACTTACTGACTATTGTCATATGTTTGATTAACGTAATTAAAGTAAATTAAAGTAAATTAAAGTAATAGAAGTAATGTTATTAGATTTGAATTATCGTTATGTTGGATTTGACTTGAAAAATATTTTTGTCAGTTATACTGTTAACTTACTAGCTATAGTGTTTGATCGATATAATTAAAGTAAATTAAAGTAACAGAAGTAATAAGTTATTAGATTTGAATTATCGTTATGTTGAAAAATATTTTTGTCAGTTATACTGTTAACTTACATACTATTGTCATGTATTTGATTGATGTAATTAAAGTAAATTAAAGTAACAGAAGTAATATGTTATTAGATTTGAATTATCATTATGTTGGATTTGACTTGAAAAATATTTTTGTCAGTTATACTGTTAACTTACTAGTAATAATCATATAGTTGTAAAATAAATATAGCATAAGTAAGGTATCGAAGTTATAATTTTGTATTAAATAAAGTAATGTGAGATATAATAGATTGTAATTAGTAATAATAGAGAAAGTAGATTGTTAAATGTTTATAAGATAATAGTGATATGTTATATTGTTAAGAAAGAATAAATACTCAAGTAGATATTAAAGAATTTGTATTAGCTGGACAAAGAGCAGCTCTAATAGTTTCAGCATCTGGTATTTTCTATTGAGGAAAAAAGAGATTTTGAGGTTTTAAGTTTTTTAAAGATATATTGTAATGCTTGTGAAAAATAAGATTGGTTATATTTGTGTTTAATTTGAGAAATAAGAAAATTAGAGAATTGTATAATATTAAAATAGGATATAATTTTAGTGAGAGTATGTAGGTCAGTTGTTTTAGTAAAAATATTTTGAAGAGTATTTTTAAGGCTAAGATTAATGTTATTATTTTTAGCAGCAGCTATTAAATAGTGTTTAAAGTAGGTATAGTAAAAAAAGGTTTCACCTTTAGGATATGTAAGAGTATTATTGAGTTGTATAAATTGTTGTTCTGCTGAGTTAGCTAATTTTTTAAGAGACTCAAATGGGAAAAGTTTTGAAAAAGTAGCAGTTAGAGGTTGGTTTGGTTAAAAAATAGCAAAGTTTAAGTAAGAGTAGATATAGGTTTTAAATAAGTTATGAAAATAAAATGAAGTTAAATTTTAAAAGTATAAAGGATATCATTAAGAAGAATAGTATATTTGTCACTTGTACAAGTATAGATATAGTATAGTGATACCTTAATTGAAGCCTTTGTTCTTTCTTGTAGTGAGTTTTCAGTAGAAAATTGGTAGAAGATTGGTAGTAGTTTTTTGAGTTTGTTAAAAAGATAGGTAATAATTTGATATTTAATAAAGTTATAGACTTTTTGTTGATTAATATATAGGAATTGTTGTTTGTATGAGTTAAAAAAATTTTAAGAACTATTTGTCAAATATTGTGCAGTAAGATTTAAAAGAAGGAATATAAAAGGTTTTTAAAAAATTTTGTGGTGAAATGTCAAAAGTAATATAAATATTATATTTGATCATTTTTGATATTAAGAAGTAGTTGATCAGAGTTATTAAATATAGTATTAAAATGAAGTGACATACAAATAGGTTTAAGATCCAAGTCTTCAAAGAATTTATTATAGTTAATAGTTTTGTATTGATTTAAAAGAAAGAGATAAAAATGAGCAAGATTAATTGTAATTTGAGCATGTTTAGAAATAAAATAAGGAGATAAAAAATAGTTTGAGTGAAATATTTTTTTATAATTAAGTTTTGTAAAAAGAACAGTAGTAAAGTTGAATAGTATATCTTTTAGAATAAACAGAAGATAATTAGATGATATATTGGTATTGTTGTTATTAGTTATATTTTGGTGGATAAAGTTAGTAAGAAATTGTGGTTGTTAAAAAGCTATATATTGTAATAAATTCTTTGAAGACTTGGATCTTAAACCTATTTGTATGTCACTTCATTTTAATACTATATTTAATAACTCTGATCAACTACTTCTTAATATCAAAAATGATCAAATATAATATTTATATTACTTTTGACATTTCACCACAAAATTTTTTAAAAACCTTTTATATTCCTTCTTTTAAATCTTACTGCACAATATTTGACAAATAGTTCTTAAAATTTTTTTAACTCATACAAACAACAATTCCTATATATTAATCAACAAAAAGTCTATAACTTTATTAAATATCAAATTATTACCTATCTTTTTAACAAACTCAAAAAACTACTACCAATCTTCTACCAATTTTCTACTGAAAACTCACTACAAGAAAGAACAAAGGCTTCAATTAAGGTATCACTATACTATATCTATACTTGTACAAGTGACAAATATACTATTCTTCTTAATGATATCCTTTATACTTTTAAAATTTAACTTCATTTTATTTTCATAACTTATTTAAAACCTATATCTACTCTTACTTAAACTTTGCTATTTTTTAACCAAACCAACCTCTAACTGCTACTTTTTCAAAACTTTTCCCATTTGAGTCTCTTAAAAAATTAGCTAACTCAGCAGAACAACAATTTATACAACTCAATAATACTCTTACATATCCTAAAGGTGAAACCTTTTTTTACTATACCTACTTTAAACACTATTTAATAGCTGCTGCTAAAAATAATAACATTAATCTTAGCCTTAAAAATACTCTTCAAAATATTTTTACTAAAACAACTGACCTACATACTCTCACTAAAATTATATCCTATTTTAATATTATACAATTCTCTAATTTTCTTATTTCTCAAATTAAACACAAATATAACCAATCTTATTTTTCACAAGCATTACAATATATCTTTAAAAAACTTAAAACCTCAAAATCTCTTTTTTCCTCAATAGAAAATACCAGATGCTGAAACTATTAGAGCTGCTCTTTGTCCAGCTAATACAAATTCTTTAATATCTACTTGAGTATTTATTCTTTCTTAACAATATAACATATCACTATTATCTTATAAACATTTAACAATCTACTTTCTCTATTATTACTAATTACAATCTATTATATCTCACATTACTTTATTTAATACAAAATTATAACTTCGATACCTTACTTATGCTATATTTATTTTACAACTATATGATTATTACTAGTAAGTTAACAGTATAACTGACAAAAATATTTTTCAAGTCAAATCCAACATAATGATAATTCAAATCTAATAACATATTACTTCTGTTACTTTAATTTACTTTAATTACATCAATCAAATACATGACAATAGTATGTAAGTTAACAGTATAACTGACAAAAATATTTTTCAACATAACGATAATTCAAATCTAATAACTTATTACTTCTGTTACTTTAATTTACTTTAATTATATCGATCAAACACTATAGCTAGTAAGTTAACAGTATAACTGACAAAAATATTTTTCAAGTCAAATCCAACATAACGATAATTCAAATCTAATAACATTACTTCTATTACTTTAATTTACTTTAATTTACTTTAATTACGTTAATCAAACATATGACAATAGTCAGTAAGTTAACAGTATAACTGACAAAAATGTTTTTCAAGTCAAATCCAATATAAAGATAATTCAAATCTAATAACATATTACTTCTGTTACTTTAATTTACTTTAATTATGTCAATCAAACACTATAGCTAGTAAGTTAACAGTATAACCAACAAAAATATTTTTCAAGTCAAATTTAACATAACGATAATTCAAATCTAATAACATATTACTTCTGTTACTTTAATTTACTTTAATTTACTTTAATTACGTCAATCAAACATACGACAATAGTCAGTAAGTTAACAGTATAACTAACAAAAATATTTTTCAAGTCAAATCCAACATAACGATAATTCAAATCTAATAACATTACTTCTATTACTTTAATTTACTTTAATTTACTTTAATTACGTCAATCAAAATATACAACAATAGTCAGTAAGTTAACAGTATAACTGACAAAAATATTTTTCAAGTCAAATCCAACATAAAGATAATTCAAATCTAATAACATATTACTTCTGTTACTTTAATTTACTTTAATTATATCAATCAAACACTATAGCGAGTAAGTTAATAGTATAACTGACAAAAATATTTTTCAAGTCAAATTCAACATAACGATAATTCAAATCTAATAACATATTACTTCTGTTACTTTAATTTCTGTTACTTTAATTTACTTTAATTATGTCGATCAAACACTATAGCTAGTAAGTTAACAGTATAACTGACAAATATTTTTTAAGTCAAATCCAACATAACTTTAATTTACTTTAATTTACTTTAATTACGTCAATCAAACACATGACAATAGTTTGTAAGTTAACAGTATAACCAACAAAAATATTTTTCAAAATAACGATAATTCAAATCTAATAACATATTACTTCTGTTCTTTAATTTACTTTAATTATGTCAATCAAACACACGACAATAGTATGTAAGTTAACAGTACAACTGACAAAAATATTTTTCAACATAACGATAATTCAAATCTAATAACATTACTTCTATTTACTTTAATTTACTTTAATTATGTCAATCAAACATATGACAATAGTCGGTAAGTTAACAGTATAACTGACAAAATATTTTTCAAGTCAAATCCAACATAACAATAATTCAAATCTAATAACATATTACTTCTGTTACTTTTAATTTACTTTAATTAATTTACTTTAATTATGTCAATCAAACACTATAGCAAGTAAGTTAACAGTATAATTGACAAAAATATTTTTTAACATACAATAATTCAAATCTAATAACATTACTTCTATTACTTTAATTGACTTTAATTTACTTTAATTATGTCAATCAAACACACGACAATAGTATGTAAGTTAACAGTATAACTGACAAAAATATTTTTCAAGTCAAATCCAACATAATGATAATTCAAATCTAATAACATATTACTTCTATTACTTTAATTTACTTTAATTAATTTAATATAATTATGTCAATCAAACACTATAGCGAGTAAGTTAACAGTATATCTGACAAAAATATTTTTCAACATAACGATAATTCAAATCTAATAACATATTACTTCTGTTACTTTAATTTACTTTAATTACGTCAATCAAACACATGACAATAGTATGTAAGTTAACAGTATAACTAACAAAAATATTTTTCAAGTCAAATTCAATATAACGATAATTCAAATCTAATAACATTACTTCTGTTACTTTAATTTACTTTACTTTAATTATGTTAATCAAACATATGACAATAGTCTGTAAGTTAACAGTATAACTGATAAAATATTTTTTAAGTCAAATTCAATATAACGATAATTCAAATCTAATAACATATTACTTCTGTTACTTTAATTTACTTTAATTTACTTTAATTATGTCAATCAAACATACGACAATAGTCTGTAAGTTAACAGTATAACTGATAAAAATATTTTTCAAGTCAAATTCAATATAATGATAATTCAAATCTAATAACATATTACTTCTGTTTAATTTACTTTAATTTACTTTAATTACGTCAATCAAACACTATAGTGGGTAAGTTAACAGTATAACTGCCAAAAATATTTTTCAAGTCAAATCTAACATAACGATAATTCAAATCTAATAACATATTACTTCTATTACTTTAATTTACTTTAATTTACTTTAATTACGTCAATCAAACACACTACAATAGTCTGTAAGTTAACAATATAACTGACAAAAATATTTTTCAAGTCAAATCCAACATAACGATAATTCAAATCTAATAACACCCTATGAGAAAAGTGAAACGTGTGGTGGCACGTGATGGTTTCGGTAATGTTCATAATGGTATGTTTTCCGTGGTATGTATAGGAGCATCATACAGAGTGGGATATGTTGCAATGATACGTAATAGCACATTATGAGAATAGTATTCTTAGATGGTATGTGATGGCACGTAATATGCACATGTTGGCTGGTTGCACAAAATAGTACGTTTTTTGTAGTACATATAGGGGCGTCATATGGAAGGATGGCGCGTTGTAAGAATAGCTTAGATGGTATGTAGTAGCACGTAATATGTACATGTTTGCTCATTGCACAAAATGGTACGTATGTATGTATTTTTGTACATTTTACTTAATAGCATGTGTACAGGAATAGCACACTTTAAGAGACCATTCATATATGTACCTAAATTGCTCTTATCGATATTAATAAAAAAAATTTTTATAGCATGAATTAGTTTTATTGTTTCCAAAGTCAAATTTCTCTGAAATTATAGTAAATCTTTTTCATTACTATTAAAAAATCAAAAGAATTTTTTTAAAAATGTAAATATGGGCCTTTTAAATAGGAGAAACTCCCTATTACTGATAGAAAAATGGTATTTTTTACTAGATAATATATTATTAAAATATGGTAAGTATATTTAAATATAGTTTATTACCCAGTAATTAAGTAAAGATTTGTATTATATTTTACAATATATTTTCTAGTAAAAATATAATTTTTTGACCAGTGTAACTTTTAACTATTGATTACTTGACTTATGATTCCGATTCAGAATTTGAACTAAAATACAGTGTTTCAAATACATAGTATAGTAAAAATCTGGTATTTAAGCCATGATTGAGAAATTAAAAATTCATGAAGTTGTTGCATGATCAAATTAGTAAGGTACAATTGAATTTTAGGTTTGATAATTATTACTGTATATATATATATGCCTGTATAGATGTATGCTTATATAGTTGGTCAATCGCATACAAAGCAAAGTATTTATTTAAGTTTAAAATTAAACTTTAAATTCTATATAGCATTTAATTTGCCTTGTCTATAATGTAAAAAAATTTTTCTACTCTCATAAAACCTACGCATTTTTGTACCATTGATACATCTACAAACTCATAATCACCAAATCCTTCAAAATTATATAAACCATATAATCCTTTTCGTGTATTTCTTGCATTGTGAATATATGCAAGTAACTGATATTTTCCTTGAAACACATAATAAAAATAAAATTGTACCTGACCAAAAAATCACCGAAGTTCATATTTTTTTATATCTTTTGGTTTAGCAATATTGACTTCAAGTTCATACTTAAGCAAAGAATTATTATTTAGTACATAAAATATAAAATAAAAATATATTAATTAAAAAAAACAACTTACTAGTACACAAGAATTATCACGTGCATTAGCTGCTGCTGTTGACATTAAAGAACCAAGCATATAACCTTCTCTTGTGCGAAATTTAGCATATTTTACTTCCCAATCATTTAACTATATAATAGAAATTTATTTAATATATTTTATATAAAATTTAGATTAAATAAAACTTACTTCTAAAATAGGTTCTTCTAAATTAGAGCAATAAAAATTTGACAATGCAATAAATTCCTCATTATTTAAAGTATAATCTAGACTAGGTAACCAAAGTTCTTCTTCGGCATTTTCAATCCAAACAACTTGTCGTGAATGAAACTGCTTAGAGGGTGGTAGAGGAGAAATTTGTGTATATAAAGTTAGAATAAAACGAAGATGATAAAAACGATCTTGTAATAATATATTATTCATTAGGTTCTTATATGGATGTTGATTGGATTGGACCATAGGCTGTAACATTCTACATAATCGCTCTATTAGATATTGCTAATATATCCAACATTGACCACAATTTTTAATACAGTCTTGTATATGAAGTAAATAATGAAAGGTAATCCGATAAGCTGGCAAGCATTTTATTTCATTGTTGATATATAATCTAAATAACACAAATTTTAATTAATATTATTTAAAACAAATAAATAAAATATATAAATATATTTAATACCTAGCATATGACTTAAAAAATTTACGAAAATTTTCACCCAATTTATGTAATTGTTCATCAGTAATTGTTTTTTTAATAGCGATTTGAGCAGCTTCTACAAATATAAACTAGCTATCTACAAAACTATAACAATAAAAGATAAATAATTAATATATTTTTTTTTTAGTATAATAAATTAAATTATAAAAATACTTTTTGTTATAAAAATGTTGCAATAATGGTATTGAATATAAACAAGTCCAGTTCACCTAGTCTTCAGCTTTAAATGCATTTGAGTGCTGAGCAATATTTAGTGAAGGCTGACCAAACTCAGATGGCATCGATTTTTTGTGTGATTCCATAATACTACTGATATTTTTCCAAATAGCTTTTGATAAAGTTTGTGAATTTGTCTCAAAATTATTTAAAGATTTATCAGAGTAAAATGTTCCTGACCAGTGTTTGTACATTTGCATTGCGGCACCTTCAAAGATAAAATGCATTATGTCAAGTGGAAAAGATGTAGGAAATTGTATAGCTCTTAATTCAAAAAGAATACTTTCACCAATTAAACCTATAAATAAAATTTTCAGTAAATTTAAAAATATAAATATACAGTATATATAATTATAAACCAACTTTTATACCAGTTTCTTTTTGAATTTTTTTTTTATCAGATGCAGCTTTCCAAAGTGAAACTTTATGTAAATATAATTCATGATTTCATAATGGAAGAGTCTTTACATTATATAATTTTTTACTTTCTTTCATTAAATAGTTTAAAGGATAATATACATGATTAACACCTGATCTTGAATCAGATACTCCTTTTAAGGGTAGAGTGTATGTTGATCATTTATCATATGATCTCAGTGGTACAACGGGATTTTATGCATAAATTAAAAT